CTCCTGCTGTATTCTAGATCTTGGATACAGGTCCCAAAGATGAAGAATTCTGATGAAACCTCTTACACAGCTTCAAAGACTCCCCACTCCACCAAGCTCAGACTTCACAGATACAAGTTGGCAACTGTTGAGAGTGTCCTATAGATGGACTTATTTCCACACAAATAGCCCATACCACAGATGGCCTACCCAGGATTTTCTATAGGTTTATCCCCATGCCATCACCACCTTATCCACCTGTCTGTATGAGACCTCTCAGCTCCAGACAGAATCTGGGCCCAGGAACTCACAGAGAGTTGAACTCAGGCTCCAGATGGTGGCTAGCCCAGTACCCCTAAGACCTCACGGATCAGCTGCTGGAACGAGGAGCCCAATCTACAGCCTGGATGACATCAGTGACAGTGCTTGTACCATGGAGTCCAGTCCACTTTTCATATATCTCAAAAGAGCTGGACCTGGTGGTACAGGCCTGTAATCTCAGCTACTCGGGAAGCTGAGGCAGAAGGATGACATATTTAAGGCAAGACTGAACAACTCAGTGAGATTGTCTCAAAAATTAAAGAGAGGGTTGGGGTGTGGCTCAGTGGTAGAGCACCTGCCTAGCATGCGGGAGATCCCAGGTTCAATGTTACACACACACTGTAATTGTTTTCAGAAAAAGAGGACAGTCCATTATGAGGCCATCTGTTGATTTTGTCCTGGTGATGCACACCTGCATACTCAACACTCACAAGACTGAGGCAGGAGGACTGAGAGTTCCAGGCCAACCTGGGGTACACACACAAAGCCCAGTCTCAAAACCCCAGAACACAAGAATTTCCTACTTTGTGTAACTCAGCACCCTCTTCCTAGGTCCTGGGAAAAGCTAAGCCTCCCACTGTGGGAAGAGAGGGCTCATCATCAGCTGCTGTGGTAAAAAAACAAAGACCACATGCTTGCATGGGCCTTGTGATGTCAGTGTCAGGGACTGGGGGAATGTCAGGTCCAAAGTTGAGAGGAACTGGTTGGCCAGGAGCTGGGGGCTGATCTCAAAAGGAAAGAGCACTATTAAGCTTGAAGAAATAACTTTTATTTTTAAATGGTGCTGCAGGTGAGTCTGGTGAGGTCCACATCTGCCCCTGCTAGGAAACTGGTGTTCACCCCCAGCCCCAGCAGCTGAAGGGCCCCTGGAGGGGACAAGAAGTCTTGGGAGCAGAAGTGGGGAGCCCCCAATCCTGCACCTGGTAGGCCCTCATGAGGCCACAGGTCCTCGTCCCCAGCTTTGGACCACACAGCAGCCACCTCATGAGCCAGGAGGACAGCGGGAGCCAGCAAACGGGTTGTCTTCCCTCCACATGGCTCGGTCTCCTTCAGTTTGGATTTCTGATGAACAGTGACAAAGTTTAGCTTCGTGGTGCTGGCAAGGAATGGGGACAGTTCCCCAGCCCGGCCCCCTGTGCTGTGGCCATGCCTAGGGAGGAGATCTATGGGAGTGGAGATCAACTGTCCCCATAGTGTAGTGGATCTTCTGGGAGTTAAAAGGGTGCAGTTGGGCATCCAGTCCTAGACCACGCCCATCGAACTGGCTTCCTTTCTACCGCCCACCCAATTCTCTGCATCCTATTCTGTCCCTGTATCTGTCTCTGCCTACCACTGACTCTTTCCCTTTCTGCAGGTCCCCAGATTCCTCTCTTCCCACACCCACCAACCCACTACAGGGCGGTGGAAACCTTCGAGTACGCTTGGAAAGCTTTCCTGGAGGTCGGCAGCTGGGTGAGGGGCGCCATAGGCAGCAGGAAGCAGCAGAAACAGCAACACCAGTGGTGGCCACATGACTCCGGGACAGGGCGCTGCAAAAGGATGGGCTTATCTGTCAGAGGCCCTCCCTGCCCAGCCGTCCTCTATTCCCTCCTTCTTATGCACGCCAAGCCCACCCATCTCTGGTCCTGGAAGGCCCGCCTTCTCACTTCCGAAGTGCCCTGTGTCAGTCCTCAGCCTGGTCAACGGTCTCCAGCGCTCCAAGAACTGTCAAGTGCAGACAGTTGTGTCCCAGGGTGGTTCTGGAACTACTGGTCTCCTCGAGCCAGCTCGCAAGTCTTGGCCACGCCCCTCGCCCAGAGCCACGCCCCTTATACTTGAACTGAGCCGCCCACTCTGACCACACCACACCTTTCGGCACAAGCCGTGCCCACCCAACCAGAACTGCTCACTTATACAATGGCCATGCCCTTAAAACTTAGCCACACCCTCCCGCTGAGAAATACGTCTCGGCAGGGCTGCTCAGCTCTTTGCTGAGCACAGTCCTGGATATGGGCTTAGCTTTGCGGGTTGATCCTTTGCAGGCCAGACCCCATCAGCACCACTGTTAGAACTCTAGTGGCCGGTGGTCCCTTGTTCTTTTCCATCCTCCATCCCTTTTGCATATATGGAGTCCATCCTTCTTTCTTCCTTCCGTCTTCTGTGTTCATGAAGTGGCCAGAGGACGAATTCAGATATCCTTCTCTATCACTTTCCACCTGTAACTTTGGGCAGGATCTCTCCCTGAACCTGGAGCTCATGCTTTTCAGCTAAACTGTCAGCCAGCAAGCTCCAGCCATCCTCCTGTCTCCACCCACTTCAATGCTGGGATTACAGACAGATGTAGGACCATACTGGCTGCCTGAGAACTGTTTAGATACAGTTTAATTTATCTTGCATATATATGTATGGGGGCATGCATGTGTCATGGCATGAGTGTGGAGGTCAGAAGACAGCTTGCAGGAGTTGGTTCTCTCCTTCCACCATGTGAGGAGTCCCAGGTGGTCAGGTTGGGCAGCTGGAGCCTTTACTGGCTGAACCATCTTGCAGACCTCCTGAAAATTCCTTAAATACGATTATTCATCAAATCAAGTACATTTTATTACCCCAAAGGAATGTAAATCTTAAAATTAGGAATATGAAGTTTTCAAAGTGTGGAAATATGAAAAGTGATTGACACACAGACACACACTTATTATATATATAATATATAAAATAAGTGTAATAATATATATGAGCTGGTGTGATGTCACACACCTTTAATCCCAGCACTTGTGAAGCAGAGGCAGGTGGATCTCTGTGAGTTTGAGGTCAGCCTGGTCTTCATAGTGGATTCCAGGACAGCCAGGGCTTCATAGTGAGACCCTGTCTCAAAAAAAAGTACCAAACATATTTGTATATATAAAAATGTGGGGTGAGGAGAGATGTACTGGCTCTTAGACCTTTTCAAATATTTTATTCAAAATAATAACATAGTGGTAAGCTTCAAGGACATGGTACAAGAAATCATAATAGATGCCACCAAAGCTACCATACCATAAAGAAAGTGTCCTGCACAGAGTTATAAAAACTAGACACTCTGATACACAGTGTATTGCTAGACATCAGAAAAGTAGGACAAGGGGCATGTTAACAAGTGCTAGCCAGTTGGGATTTTTTTTTTTCCGAGACAAGATTTCTCTGTGTAGTTTTGGTGCCTGTCCTGGATCTTGCTCTGTAGACCAGGCTGGCCTCAAACTCACAGAGATCCACCTGCCTCTGCCTCCTGAGTGTGGGATCAAAGGCGTGTGCCACCACTGCCCAGCCCAGTTAAAGTCCTCCATCAAAGGGTCACACCCATGCACAGAAATATATACTGTAGAACACACAGGGGAATTCAGCACCAGATGTACAAGCAGGCAATGACAGGAACCAGATATGTAACCTCTGCAAGCCTCAGCTAAAACTAAATGGTGTGCTGATTGACCACATGGATGTTTTGCTTGTGTTTATCCTTCACATAGAATCACACCATGTGCCTACCTGTGTCTAGGCTTCATTACTCATTTATGGGACTCATCAGACTTCAATATCATCCCCTCCCACTGTCCAACAGGATGCCACAGTGGAAGTAAACCCCTTCTATTACATATGTGAGCCTTGAGAGTTCTGGGATTTTCTGAAGTTTCCCATTATGTCTATCTCTAGTGCATTAATATGTGCCTCCACACATGCTCTGTGTATGTGTGTGTGTTTCCGCCTGGTTGAGTAAAAGGGTATATGCATGCTTCACTAAAAATATCAGTTTTCCAATCTGTGTTGTCCACTAATGCATAAGTTCCTGTCACAGGGCTGGAGGGCTAGCTAGGTATTAGATAACATTTGGACAAGAATGAAGTTTGGTTCTTAGCACTTA